TTTATTTATTTATTTATTTATTTATTTATTTATTTATTTATTTATTTATTTATTTATTTATTTATATTTCAGTATCAAACAATTATTGTTATCATCACCGGTGGATTTTTTGCGATATTATTTCACTGGGGAGTCGATGAGATCGGAAGATCTAAGAAAATTGAAGGTATGATATTGGTTTTTTAACACTTGCGCCATCATGCGTGTAATAAGTCGGCGTGTGGTGTGGTTTAGCCAGAGGGATGATTCTTATGTCCATTGTAAGAAGTCATTGATACTTTATAATTTCAGATGAAAAAAAAGCTTTACAAGAAAAACAGTCATCAAGAACCGATGATGCAGAGAAGCAAGCTTTAGATAAAGAGCTCAACCCCTTGGAAATAATCGAGCATAGTAAAACCAGTCCACCAAAGTCGATCAAACAGTGGTTCAAATGTCCTGATTTCTATGTGGTAAGAAGTAAAACAATTTTTTTTCTCTGTTCAATAATTTCGTTATTAAATTTCATCTTTATTTTGGTAATATTCAAATGTTATTTTTACTAATTAACACCTTTCTACATTGCCTTTCACGGTCCCACTTTTCAATTGTTTTTGCTTGATATGCAAGGATGTATTTACTAATGCATATTTATTTATTGCCATTTTCTATTTTTAGATGATGATCGTTTACTTTACGACACAAAATGTTGCTAATTTAGTCCAGTCCTACTTCCCCATGTACCTCACGGAGACCATGCAGTTCCCTAAGGTAAATAACTTAACTTCTTCTTTGCAAAAATGATGTTTTCCTTCCTTCCTTCCTTCCTTCCTTCCTTCCTTCCTTCCTTACTTTCTTCCTTCTTCCCTTTCTTCTTTCCTTCCTTCCTTCCATCTCTTCATCCTTCCTTCCCTCCTTCTTTCCTTACTTTCTTCCTTCTTCCCTTTCTTCTTTCCTTCCTTCCTTCCATCTCTTCATCCTTCCTTCCCTCCTTTCTTTCTTCTAAAACTGAAGCGTTCATGTGTTTATTATTCCAGGAAGCCATAGCTTACTTCCCTCTCATCATCTTGATTAGTGGTATTATCTCTAGCATGTTGGTCAAACGACTGAACAAAAAATTCAGCAACAGAGTAAGTAATACTTATTATTTAAAATTAAAATCATTTATCGGTTCCCATGAATATCTGGATTTTATTCCTTTTTTTTTTTTACTTCTTCTTTTCTTTTCTTTTCTTTTCTTCTT